TTATTGAGAGTTATGATATTGTATGTATGAATTTCATTAATTCTTATCCAAATTAAAATATTTGAGGATGAGACAAGTAATTTTGAAATACATAATATGTATAAATGAAAAGATATGCACTAATGATTACATTAAATAAAGTTCTCTAATAATAATATACTAATAAAATGAGCCAAATAAATTAGATTGGAAAGAAATTAGACATCAATTCAAAACTAACAATAATATAGTGAATATTATATTTAAAATATGCTTTGTATCAATTTTAATTTAAAAAAAAAATTAAAATTCTAACTTCAAAAATATCACCATCTAATGAATATTTTTTAAAATTAACTATTAGATTTAATATTATATTTATATAGTTCATATAAATTAATTTTTTAAATTAATTAAATATATAAAACTAATTCATTAATTATAAAAAATTTATTACCATTAAATCTATTAAAAAATAGAAAATTTTTAATTAAATGATTATAAATATTAGATTAACTTTAAAAATTTATTATTATTATTATAAATTTTTTTAGCATATTTTTTTATTAACAAAATATTTTATTTCTTTGGTACAAGGGGTGCCTAAACCTTCTTCTTCTTTTTTTAGTATATAAATGTTTCAACCGCTTTAGAGTGAAGAACTAGGAAGTTTTGTTTCTAGGTCGGAAAAAGTCTAAAAAACCGATATCAATTGAAAATTGGGAGGGCAAACTCGACATTTAAGAAAACAGAATCAATTGGAAGTCAACCGTGAAATTGGAATTTTTTAGTAAGTGGGTGATAGTGAAAAATCGAAAAGCCCTCCATTGGAAGACAATTGGGAGCAAGATTTGAGGGCAAAGTTGAGATTTCACTCGGTCAAAAACAATTGAGATCTGTTGGTAGAGCATACATGTTGTCGACAAACCTTCCTCCCTGTCTTCAATTCACTGCCAAACTGAACAAACTCAGCAACATTCCTTCTTCCATTCATTTTAGAAGAAGAAGCAATCGAAGAAAATGTAGCAGGGACAAGTTTTGCCAAAATGACTCCCACCAAGGAGCTGCATCTATCTTCTGAAAATCTAACCAGATGAGACTAAATTTAGTTAATTAGATCTTTGCTGATAAAAAAATAGTCAATGAGACACCACCATAAAAGAAAATGAATAAATGAAAATGGAAGTTCCACAAAAGAATCAATATTTGTGACAATCTATTATGAAATGAGCTGCACATCATATTGCAGACTGACCTAAAAGGCTGAAAGCTGAGATTACTGCATTATCGCCAATAGTGACTATCAACGTTGACGGCCCAACAATAGAAGCAGCTGGATTCAAATAACATAATAACTTCAAAAAGTTACCAGAAATGAACTACAAACAAGTAGGAAAAAATGCAAAATGAAACAAGGAAAAGAACTCTTTTATGTTTAAACTGTTTTCTAGAAAGCATGTAGCAAATAGCTACTCATGAACCTTAGACCATTAGAAGAACTCCTATACAAACCATTTGTGAACTAATTACAGCAAGTTACATAAGGAATCACCTGGAGTTACATCAATGGAGGAGGCATTTATACCAGTGATTGTTGCATCAATATAGATCCATAGTCATTGACATTCCATAACTAATACGAAAATCTCCTATAAAAATTTTCTGGATTGTCTTGAACCCCTCTTGTTGGGTTTCTAGTCCCAAAAATGAGATGAGGTTCTTGAGACTACCTTTGTTGAAACAAACTCGACATCACCAGAAGGGATGAAAAGATAAAATTCATCAAGATAATACTATATTAATGACAGCAGGTGAAGATGCTTTTTCACATTTCAACAATAACTCTTTGGCTTTGGCAGCAAATTAGGTACCTGAATATCAGAGTCAACAGAAAAAGCAAGTGCTTCAGCCATGATAAGAGAAACCTCCTCTGAGGATGTGTGTTTGGGTCATCTCTCTCTTAGTTTCACCTTCCATGGACTCTTAATTGTAGGATACATGTAGAATATACCCACAATAAGCAAAAATATATATTAATAGAGTATATACAATTCAAAATTTAAATGAAAGCTTATGGATAAAACTATATGATATATAAGCTCATTAATACCAATGAGCTTAAATTAAATTCATTTAAGAGAAAAGAAAAAAAGAGAAAAATCATTTGTTTGCCATAAAACACACCATTAAAACTAATTCACATAAAAATAAAAATCAGAGAAAGGAAGCAGGAAAATTTTCTTGGAGGATGAAAGACAACTGCCTGAAGCTTCTGCTGTGGAAACGAAAAGAAAATTACAAAAATTTTTACTGACCATTCTATCCATTGTTATGCTTAGAAGGGGCACAAATAACAGACACTGTAGAAACTCACCTAAGACTATATATTGTTGGGTTGCTGGTTTTTTCCTTTTTTGTGCCTATAAATAGTTGCACCTTCCAACAAATTTTCAAGTGGCAGGGTAATTATTTAAGGAATCACCTGGAGTTCCGCCAAAGGAGGAGTCATTATGCCAGTGATTGCAGCATCAACACACAACTCATACATTTTAACATCCATAACTGATATGGCAATCTCCAATAAGAATTTTCCAGATCCTCTGAGCCTCTCCCCTAAGGTTTCCAATCCCAAAACTAAGAGTGTGTTCCTTATAACCATCACTGAACTCTGAAGTATACTATACAACACTAGAACCAGAGGGGTGGATTATTTGATTGATAACGACTTTCTTTACCTTGGCTTTTGTCCAGAAACAAGAAATGATCCATGAAGATCACACTATAATAATAACATGTAAAGATATTTGTCATGTTTCAACAGCAACCCTTAGGCTCTAGAAGCAAAATAAAATGAGCACTTACAACAGCCATAACAACAAAAGCCTTATCTGAAGATGTCTCTTGGGTCATATATCTGTTTAACGGACTCTTAATTTTAGGATGCCTGCAGGATACACCTTATATCTGTAAGCAAAAGTATCCATTCATGAGTTTACTATTAGAACAACAACTTCAACTGTAATTTATATAAGAAAAAAAAAAAGATCAAACTGACTGATGTCTACATGGTATGACAGACCATCCTTACAGAACAAGCAAACAAAATTTAAATAAAAGTTCACGAATGAGAAATTTATGACCTACTTTTACCTCCCTTCAACATATCCAACTCAGAACTTACATATGTTAATGCTACAGCCAATTTCTTGATATTTTTTAACAAAATCCCAACAGAAATTTCACTCCTAATTTCTTGTTTATTGTTTAATTAATGCCCTTGTCTTCAAAACAATCTCTTGATTTCTATAACTACAGGAAGAACAATAAAATCCCACCAAACCATTAGTGCACATTTAAAATCATTAATCTATTCCACACAGAAAATTACTACAGCTTCCTCCGTTAATCCAAGAGGTTACCATCTCAAGAAAATAGAATGTAAAACTCAAAAAGAAAATTACCTGTCTAGGGTTGGCGATGGCTAGAGAATGGGCCTCTAGAGAACAGAGGACGTCTCAGCCGTCCGTCAGCTGGTACTCCTAATCCTCTTCGAAATCGCTCAGCTGCGTCCGCTTCGAGACTGATTTGAACTTTCAACTGATTGGGAAATATGGTGAAAGGAGACAATTGGGAGTCCACACTACATTTTAAGAAATTTTCATTTTTATTCAGTAAAACGCACTGTTCAAAGGCAACCAAACCAAATGAAGAGGATGAAATATGATAGAGAGAGAAAGATCAACAAAAATCACAGATAGATCAAATTATGGTAACAAAATACACGAGAATTGCGTGCGGAGCAGATAGATCAAATCCAAAAGAAATCAACACAAATTCATACAATACTCAATGTAGACTGGATGCTGCAACCATATATCAACTACCAACATGAAAAAGATATAAACAAATAAACTCAAGAAGCAACACAAAACAGAGACACAGTCTTTGTTGCCAGATCTTTCCCGGAATAAGAAATCAGATGCACTTGCTTGCACCTATATAAAATAAAACAAAATCAGAAAGATTAAGCTTCAATATTATGTATAGAGAGTTTTAGAAACTTACCTAAGAGTGTTGGTTGGGTTTTCGGGTTTTTCTCTTTTCTTATGCCTGCCATTGCATCTTCCAACAAATTTCTGCTGATATTTCTCCACCTTCTTCACTACCCACCATGGTTTTTTTTTGTTTCCTTCAAGAGTAATTTAGACAAAAATATAAGCTCACTTTTGGTATAAAATGGTTGTAGTTTTTAATTTTTGTTGTTAAAATTTAAAGGGTAAATATCACATTTAATCCTTAATTTTTACCATAAATACTAAATATTGGCGCAACCTTTTATTTAAACTAAAAATAGTCCCAACCGTTTTAAAATTACTAAACTTAATTCTACTGCTAGTTACTTTTGTTAAATTCCTAATAAATTTGTTAACTGGAATTATGGAGGTCTAATCAAAATTTTTGCAGAATTTTTTTAATTTTCATTAATCTAAAATTATTTTTATTAAATTTTAGACTCTTTAAACACCTTAACTTTTTTTTGAAAAATGTTTGAAAATTTCCTTTTATTTATTTATTTTTTTTGCATATAAAGGTTTATATATATGTTAGAGGTTGAAATCCTATAATTTGAAATTAATTTTCATTTTATGTTTCATTGATATATTTTATATAGAGGTAATTTAAATGGCAAATAAATTGTAATTAAAAAATATTTAAATTATAAAATTTATTATATTATTAAACTATTAAATTATATCAAAGGTTTCTA